CAAACCAGCAGGCAGTCTGCTGGCCAATTTACCTGAGTATTTTCTCAAGTACAGTAGTTTTGCACAATTATTCTACCGTGGTGGTTCTGGTGCTCATGTAAAAGGTCATCTAACATGAAAAATGGCAGAAACTGACATATTTTTCTCATACTCAAGTGGTATTTTTTCAAGTGGAACAAGGGGTGACTTAGTGAACTAATCGCTGCTCTTTGACATACACAATGGCAGTGAAATAATGTTAAAAAAGGCACCAAAGGTCTCTTGCAGTAGAGCATGGTTAGAGCTTTTAGCTTTGGTTTTAGAATGATTTTTTAAAAATGAGCTCAGGACATCACATCAGCTGGAGTTTTGAAATTCTGTCTTAGTCCACTAGATGGTGATCCTTGTAAATCAGGCTTCAGGTAACTAAACAAGACTCAGGACGTCAACCATAAAAAAACCCACACTGTAGTATGCAGAATAGAAAAACTTGGTTACAATATGACACGATTTGATTCATAAACATATACAAACGAATTCCAAAATATGACTGAGAAATTGCTTGAGCACTGACTGCACTGTGCCCTCAGCGTTACATTAATAGGAGCATTGTGACCCAGTCACCAGGAAAACTGAACTTGATCTCACTCTTCTCACTACAAATCAGTTTGCAACATCCGAGCTGCGAAACCCCTTTGGAAGGTCATAATGAAAACTGGAGCAAGGCACTGTGATTATTTGAGGCTGCCTTCAATGCACACACATTTAAGCATATTTGGTTTTCTGCATAGCATGTACAAAATTCCATTCATAATCTTAACATAAAACAAACGCTTAGGGTACGGTAATAGAAATGTTTTATTAATCAAATATATTTACATTTCTTTGTCTTCTTTTTAAATGTGTGCCTGTTATTTAAACACAATGTAATCTTTACAGTTGATATCACAAGAATACAGCTACATGCATGACTTAATTGGTCCTTTGCAGTAAAAAAAGATGCAATTTTATGAATTTTAAAAAATGTAAGCAAGCTGTTTACCTTTCTAATTAGGGTGTCATTTTTATTACAACAGAGGACCCCTTCAGCATATTCTACATCTATTTGGTGGATTTATGCACTTTTTCAGATCGGCTTTATGATCTTAAAACTTCCAAAATCTACACGAAATATATAAAAAAAAAAGACTTCATGCATTGCCAGAATATTTTATTTTCTGGAATCTTATCCACAGAAAGGACTTGGATGGAACAGAAGACTGCTGTAATTGTAATTAAAAAAAAAAAAATAATCATAGCAATTGATGACTTTGAAAAGCAATGAGGACTTTTGGACTTTCACCTGTTTATTCATCTGAAATCACATCATTTTGTCAGCTGTAAGATAGCATCACATAACATAATGACACCATACAAATAATAAATAGTAATTAAAAGGAGAGATGATGTTACCAAAAGATAAGATATACATGTCATTGCTTGTAAGTTTCTACTATGTAATGTGCTGTAATTATTACATTATTTCCAACGCAGCTTTCTTTCATGGGAAGACAATCAAAAGATCAGATTTGGGGTCTAGAATTGCAGGTTCATAAAGGACCTAATGTCTTTCTGAAAGCAATAACTCTATGAATGTATAAAACTTAATTCCGCACTGAAAAAAAAATTAGAACTAGGCACAAGTTTTAAATATGACTTCCAACGTGTTCAGGGTTGGACAAAAAAAATAAAAAAACAAAGCTTGTATTTATTTATCAGACTACAAAACAGAGATGCCAAGTGCTTCAGAAATTCTGAAATGGCAGGCACATAATCACTACATTTAAAGATAATTGTACTACCTTTACTGCTTCAGTTTACTGTGTGCAAACACATATTGTATTCATAATAGACCTAAATGTATTCTTGTTCTGTCAATACGTGAACAGAAACTCACTCAGCTTTCGGGAAGTGCAGACAGGAACTAGATTCTGTTTAGTCTAAACCTAGAATGTATTTTAACTTGTCGATGTTAGTTTTACATTTTCTATATTGTAACAGAATGCCAAATATTGTACTTGAGAAAAACCCACTATGAAATCATGGGTTTTCACTGAATTGCTTTTGTGTGCTGCCAAATCTGTTGTGAAAGTGCCATGTATGAAATAATACAATGACTGACATTGTGCTTAGGTATCTGGCACAACATTGTGATTTACACAAGAAATAACTATTTGGAAGAGGAAAAAGTAAATTCTGCAGAAATCCTACTCTGGTGCATTTTTAAAAAAATTCTGTAAAATCTTGAAATAATTGATCTTTAGCTCACGCACATTCAGGAGAATATTTAGACACATGTTTAATTAAAAACATACGAGTAAGCCTATTTATATTCAGCAGGGAACTTGCAATATCTGTAAGCACATACTTATGTGCTATTTGTGTTATAGGATTCAAACATAAATCCCTCTCTGCAAAAGGCTGAGTGCTCTGCACTGCCACTAACCACATCCCTGAACAGGAGAGCACAGTTAGATAATGCAACAGCATAAGTCAGTGATTTAACAGATAGCTCACAGTTGCTTTTCAGAGCATGACATATCTCTTTTCCCACTTACTCTATTTATAAATTTCTCCTCCCCCCCTTTTTTGTTTTTTGAGAATATCTGTTTGCTTGCAGAAATGATCTACTGCTGCTCTTCAAATATAAACTAAAGGCTGTTGCCCCATCAAGGTGTTAATTTACATTAAGTCTTTTAAATAAGGGAAGGTGTTAACTACTGGGTGTGAGGGTCTGAAATGTTTAAGATCAGATTTTAGTTTTTTCTGTTTGATTAGCCTTGCTAGGAAAAAAAAAATGTTTAAATAGTGACCTTTAAGTTACAATTCTTCCTACCCAGCTTCCCATGCTTCTTTGAACCTAAAAACCAACCAACCAACCAAACAAACAAACACATTTATATAGTAGCTAAGAATATCTCATAGTTTGGAGGATAAAATTGGGCAAGTGACGACAGAATTGCTCACTCCCCATATCTCTTCACTGAGAAACAGAGTTGAAAAATTCACAGGGCCGAAGTCTTTTTATGAGATAATCTGACACTTGCCAGAACAATGATAAAAAAATCTCTTTTTTTTTTCCACAACATTTTACATTTTTAATGGCCAAACACAAATACAATAACTCCTGAAGTAATTCCCTGCAAAGCTTTGGAAATTCCAAATTCTGCAGTGTAGTTTCTGCAATATAATACATGAACATCCTGAAGTAAGGATGTCTTAGCTTTTAAATTCCTTTTAAATGTATTTGAATTTTACTATACGCTCTTCTTCTGCTTGAGCTCTTTGCAGAATTAATATATGGTCTGAACCTGTTACTAAATTTGTAGCTGATTCTGTCTAGCCCTTTACAGAATTGGATACTTAATTCTCTACATATTTAAAATCATCCCCATAAATGTTTTTAAAATATTTAATATAATCAACTAAGCCCTTATGAGCCACCTAGCACTTCAGTTTTGGTGCAAAACTGAATGAATCTGTTTTAATCCCCATAATCTCCAAAAATTTATTTTGCAGTTTTACCTTGTAATATAGCATGACCTCAGAACAGTTTAGGTTTTGCTTCTTGTTGTTGGTTTCTTTTTGTGTGGTTTTTTTTTTTGTTTGGTTTTTTTGGTCTTTTTGTGGGTTTTTTTGTGTTTTTTTTTTACATTTTTATTAAACTACAGCTCTAGCATTGAGACAATCAATATATAAACAAACACTGCTGGTCTCTAAAAGTGAAAACCATTCTTTGATTAGACAAAATCATGAAATCGGAAATACATCAAGGATAAAAGCTTGAAGAAAGCCAATACGGAAACTGTTAAATTGAACCAATGTAATGACATCTGAGATTTTTACATTGATGTTGGGAATATTTTGATTTCCTTTCATTCACGACTGTACCAAGCAAATTTCCATGAAATGAATACTATGAAGCCTCCAAGCCATTTACAAAGTATCTGAGTTCAGATTTAGCTTTTGTTTTGAAGCTCAGCCCAAGTATGTTGAAAGTTTCGTCTAATACAGGAGCATTTTCAATTTGATCCAAACCAAGTAAAAATATCAGTGGACTGCAGCTTGGATTTCTGATCAGTTTTTCTAGAAATCAGCAAGCCATTAAATCAATCACCCAAACAAAAAACATCATCTTGGTTTTTTGCTCCTCATAATACAATTTACACATACACTGGAACCTTAAACATTTAAAAGTATTTTCTACCTTCTCGGTCTTTCATAGCTATTAGACTGAATTTGAGAGCTCTATTAGTTTAACATAGTTTTCCTACTGGCTTCTTTATATAATGTGCATTTGCAGACATACAACTTTCCCTTTTTTTTTTCCTTTTTTTATTTTTTTCA